GGACTTAGAACTGGAGACAATGACAGGTTTGCTGTCTGTGGAGACTCTGGAGCTGCAGTCTTCTATTTAAAGGACGGGAAACCCCACATAGTGGGGATGGTGGTGGCAAAGACTTCCTATTTTGCTGCCTTAATATCACCCATTTGGCCAATATTAGAATTGTTTAACATTGAACTAGCAAGGATAGAGGAGGATATGGAAACTTAGCCAGCAATGCCTGAGATGCTGTACACAAGGGGTCCTTTTGAAAACATGTCGTAATTTGTAGACCATGCACTTAACTATAATTTATCATTAATTTTGAAATAGACTGAATAATCATAGTTTCATTATGATGAATACAGGCCCGTAGCCAGCAATTTCAAAAGGGGGGTTCTTTTTCTGAAAAAGTGGACCATTTTCCATAAATACTTCACGTACCTAGATCAAATTTTACCCGGAGTGGACCTTTTCCCTGCAAAAGGGGCGGTTCTTTTGAACCCCTCGAACCCTCCCTGGCTACGGGCCCGTGAATATCAAGTGATATGGAAACATATCCAATTTTTTTGAAAAGTAAAAATTGTATTGTCAGCAAGAGGGATTATCAGGATTGTTAAAAGTTGAATATCTTGCAAGCATTCTGTACAGCTCATGAAAATAGTAATTAAATAGCATGACGGAATATATGACTTGTATTTACTACATGTACCTCGTGTAACACCAGAAGACAACAACTTTGTCACCGATATATATATATATATATTGATCCCTCAGTTTTCTTTCTATGACAAAATGTTGGTCCTTTGAGCCAATTTAAGAAACATTGTGAATAATTTGTTGTTGTTTTTTTTTTCTTATAAATAATGTAAATTTCACAATCAAAGTTACAAGAAGCAGATTATCCTGTGGTATATGTCAATGTTAAGATCCTTCAATGCGATATAATACAAAATAACAAGCTTATGCTTTTAATGCTGTATTAAAGGGCACAAAAAAAAAGATATCCATGTAGATATTTCTTCAATAATACGCACATTACACATAATATTTACTGTTGTGAGAACATAAATGCGGTTGCATGTATATTGAAAATTCCACATAACATTTCGAATGGTTGATACACTTGAAGTGAAAAATGTATTTGAGAAGACTGACACCCAAAGTACTATGCAAATGAATCAATATATTAGGTTCAAAAATCCAATAACAAGTAGTTATCTGAATTATATTCAAGTTCTGTTAAACAACATTTGGATAATAATCATTAGTCTTTTTGACCATATTTGTGTACAAGGTGTAAAACCAGTAGAAACAGGTACACTGCACCTATTACAGTGCCATGATCCTGTATATGTAATTATACCCATCTATGTACAAGGTGTAAAACCAGTAGAAACAGGTACACAGTGCACCTATTACAGTGCCATGATCCTATATACGGTAAAGTCTTGAAAATTTCGTCGCTAAAAAATTAATTAATATTTTTAATTGTGTAAATCCGACTAATTTTTCAAAATTACCTCTCCCCAACTCCTGGGTATGACGAAATTTTCAAAAATCCGGCCTTTGGTCTTTTATCCTTAGCGGCTGTTATCTTTGACCCTCATATATTGTGGGATATTTATTACTACTTCCCTAGTCG